TCTAGGAGGTCAGCACAAAGTCATCAAAAATATGTTTATAGGATTTGAATGAATAAACAAATAATAAGTATGATCAAGGTAAAATTAAAGATTGAGCGTGACTTATGACCGACAAAATTAACACAGAACCTCGCACACAAGTGGATCCGCTCAAGTTTCCACACTTCACAGAGCTACACAAAGAACGGATGGATAGCAAGAAAGTAATGTCAAAGTAGACAAATTTATGAGGGAGAATAAATAATCTAAAAGTAACGGATAGTACAAATATTCAAGCTTTAGAAGACATCAAAGGATGAACTCTGGCTGGCTGGCTGGCTGGCTGGCTGGCTGGCTGGCTGGCTGGCTGGCTGGCAACGAACCAACCGAGAACCTATCGCCCAACAAATGTGCAGTGGAAGAAAATGGAGATGAATTGGATCGGATTGGACGTAGACTGAGAAGACGATTTGGCGACATCACGCGCCAGGTTAGACTAGGCTGTTGAGTGAAACCTGCATGGGAAACGACGAGTTGGGCGTTCGAGCCGGGGTTGATATAGAGGAGATCATGTGAGGAAGAAATAAAAGCTTGTTGGCAGTTGTGGAGCCAGGTTGAAAAGACTGCAGTGAATAGAGTGAAATGTTCCACTAGGAACCCAAAGAACAAATAGTAAAATAATAATGATGATAATAGGTTCCGTGGCCAGCACGTTACCATTGGCCACGGAACCTGAAGATCGCGGGTTCGACCCCTAGTGGGGTCGTGGGTGCGCGCACTGCCGAGGAGTCCCATACTAGGATGAAGCAACTGTCCAGTGCTCCCAGGTTTCCTTTGTTCTTCTAACTGATGTCAGTCTACGATGAATAACAACTTGAAATATTTCCAAATCCCCACAACTCCCTCAAAATAATGATGATAATAATTAGTCTCGTGAGAATTGCAAGTAATAGGCAATGATAACTCTCAGGTATTACTGAGTCTACAAACAGTATTATTATCCATATCCGAAGAAATTAGTCTCATTTGAAGAGTCGTCAATCTTGAAATATAAGTGACATAGTAGAGATTTTTAAGTAATATATTTCTGTTAAAAAGCAAAATAAACACACCAGAAAATCGGTTCAAGATATCAAGGAAACTTACATCATATTTTTTCCGTTTACATTCACACTATCTAGCTTAGAAATAAATTTGAAGACGTCTTTTACACTGTGATTAACTAATTCCTTGTGTACGGGATCTAAAATCCTTACTAGGCATTTAGCAACTGCTTGATATGAGGAGTTGAACATGTCTAAAACTGGACGAAGAGGCAGTTCAGGCTTATGTACTTTAGGCAGACTATACAACCGTGGTATGTTAATCCGTGTAGGTCTAAATGAGTCCTATTTGGACACAGTATAAAAGACGTTTTCGAAGTTATTTCTAAGCTAGATAGTGTGAATGTAAACGGGAAACTTACATTGTCACCTCATCAAGAAATAAAGACAGATATGTGAACATAAATTAAGCTGAGATGTCGATCGGTTTTTAAATAAGGTTTAGTCGAATCTTAGACGAAATATATACCTCGAAAAGAATGAAGATATAAAATGGGATCCATCGACGGAATGTAGGTTCATGGAATAGACTACGCTTTGAAACTATGTATTATTATTATTATTATTGTTATTATTATAGGAGTAAAACTTGGGCACTATACTAGATTGTAGTTCCATTTTAGTCTGTTTATTAGAAATGTCACACAGTGAAGGAACACTATCATCTACTGGATAACGTTTCGGACACAATCCATTGTCCATATTCATATCCGATCAGGTAACTCTACAACTTCGAGACAGACTTGATATATTCCTAATTTTCTGTCCTCTCTGATGACAAGGGTATATCTAGAACAGGTGCAAAATCTTGTCTATTGCATTTATTAGGTGGTGATTTAATAAACAAAGATTCGGTTGTCAATTTCTCTCCATCCAACTGGGTTAGTTTTAATACTTTCACTCTATCCCACCCTACTGTGTGATTGTGTGTAATTGCATACAGAGCTATAGCCGAGTTTCTCCTAAATGTCTTTTCTTATTAGGATCTACTAACCTTGATTTATTCCATCTCGGGGATCCCAGCCAGACCGTCTCCACCTCACTACACGACTCAGACCAACAGTCAGGGACTTCGTCGACTGGTGCCACGTGATTAGAGACTCCAGATGGACGGACGACAGTTTTAGTCGAATAGTGATAGAAATCCACTCAAACAACCATATGGATGTCCATACAATGATCCATCCAGCGACTGACCCAGTCATCGGTCAGTGGAGGTGTGTTCGAAACCTCTCCAATCTATTGATGGAAAGTTGAGTAAGCGAACAATGGAAACACAGCTCCACTTAGATAATGCTAACACATCGCAAAAAATATCTTGATTGCACAGTGAGCTACTAACAGTAGGACACTGAAAACTAAAGTATTATAGGTTTAGTTATATCTATATAACATAAACATTTGTATGTACAAATTTAGTATGATTGGTTGTATTGAAATTGTATTCAAAGTGCTGAATAATAAGTGAATGGAAACCTGTTGAAGTGAGTCAGGATCCCACTCTTATCAAATTTTTGGCATGCTTTACAATATTATGCTGATCTAATATTCTTTAACTTGACAATCAAAGCCATTACTCTGTCTGTTTGTTACAATTTATTTGCCAGAACCAAAACTTGTTGATCGAAACACTTTTAACTTGTCATTTTTCACACTGTCTTGACAGTATGACTATTGTAATGTAATTCTCTGATTGGTTGATCTTTACTCTTACCATGTCCAATGTCTCAAGTTGTGGATAAGGTCATATTTTATGTGTATTCATATTCACATGTTATTGGATTGATTGATTATTTATACTCTTGGAGGAATAAACTCTCCAATCTTCTCTCTATTCATCCCGGATTGTGGTCGATGACTCTTGCCTACAAAGTTAGCTGTCAGTTAAGCGTGCGTAATATATATTCTTTCGGAATATTTAAGAGTTGGCGACGGAAGACATAACATAAATGGATGGTGGATAAAAAAGCATTGTCCGGATAACTTTGATTATCTACTGGCTAGAATCCTTTTTTGGATGTTCTGTTTCTCTCAGTTGATAGGTTTTAATTGTTATTATTTTTCCCTTGGGTTCCTAGTGGAACATAGGGCTTCAGTAGCACGCCAACAATGCACTCTCTTCTCTACAGTCTTTTGAACCTGGTGACACGACTGCTCACAAGCTTTCATTTCTTCCTCACATGATCTCCTCTGTGTCACCCTCGGACGCCCAACTCATTATTTCCCATTTAGATTCCACTCGAGGCCCTGGCGCATGATGTCCTCAGTTGGTCTCAGTGTATGCCCAATCCATCTCCACCTTCTCCTGCATATTTGTTGGGTGATACGTTCTTGGTTGGTACGTCGCCAGATAGAGTTCCTTGTCGATTATACTTTCTGACCATCTAATCTTCAGTATAGAGTGAGCGTAGGCGGCAGCTGTTGATGAATGTCTGAAGTTTGTTGGAAATGCTTTTCGTAACGCACCAAGTCTCTCAACCATCACATAGAAGCACTGACTAACTTGACTGACATTAGTGTTGAAAATCCGGATCCTGTTCTGTGTGCTGAATGCAGTAGATCTCCACAGTGATTATTTCAGATTAATGAAAGCCTGTCTTGCTTTTCCGATCCTGGTTTCGACATCCTCGTCTGTGCCGTCTGTAGTTGAAACGATGCTGTCTAGGTAAGTGTAGGTGAAGGGGACTACTTCCTTTAGGTTTCTCCCGTTACTGCTGGTCGGTGCTTCTCTACATTCACTTGAAGTCCCATCTTCTCTGCCTCTTCTGTCTACTTGTTAGTTTGTACCACAGGACATTAAACATAAATCATCGGCGAAATCCAAATCTTCTAGAATCTTTTCATCGGTCCAGCGTATGCCCACCTTCTCGCTCCTTGCGGTTTTCTGCTGCATAGTCCAGTCGACTACAATCAAAAAGATGATCGGTGACAGTAGACAGCCTTGTCTTACTCCTGTCTTCACTTTAAAGGCATCACTGAGCTTTCCATTGTGGATCACTCGGCATGTGTGGCGTCGCCATATAGCTGTTGAATGAGGTTCACACAAGTTTGTGGTACCCGTAGTGTTGAAGCAGCAGCTGCCAAATTACTTGTCGGTCGACGCTGTCGGAGGCCTTTTCAAAGTGGATGAAGTTGAGTTGACTGTCATTTTATACTTTGTTCAATGATGATGCGTAGCCTAGAGTTTCAACTTGATGTGCACATGATTTGTTCTTCCTGAAGCCAGTCTGTCTGTTCTCGTCGTAATTTTGAATCCAGAATGATGTGGCTTAATATATTGCTTGGGGTGGACAGCAGCATGACTCGTCGCCAGTTCTTGCAAAGACTTATGTCTCCCTTCTTTGGAAGTTTGACAAGATAACTCTTCTTGCAATCTGCAGGTACCTTTCTTTCCTTCCAAAACCTTCTGCGGTAGTGGTGTGAGCATGTCCGCTGAAATCTCTGGATCTGTTTTCAGTGCTTCTGGCGGAATTCCATCTGGTCCTGCCGCCTTCCCGAATTTCAGCAGTTTTGTGGCATTTAGGACTCCTGCCTTTGTCGGAAGGCCTGTGTTCACTGGTTGTTCGACTGTGGCTGGGCTGCTGGTGGTATTTCTTGACGAGTTGAAGGTGGTGGTCGATTCAAAAGTTTTTTGAAGTGGTCACCCCACCGTTTCCTTTGTTTCTCCTCTTCGGTAACTAGTTTTCCTTCACTATCTTTCATTGGTTTCGTCTGAGTTGATCTCTTTCCGGATAGTAACCTGGTTATTTGATATAATGTCAGGTCTCTCCTACTTGTAGCCTGTTCAGCTTCACTTGCCAATGTGTCGTAGAAGTGCCTTTTGTCTTTGCGCACACTCCTCTTATCGTTAGTTCTACACAATTAATATTTACATGAAACTTGTCACTGAATGATGTAGTTCCTGTTTTCATCTTATAGGTAAACGACGCTTCAGTGTTCGATTATGGAAAACATTCACAGATTGTTTCAATTGTCTACCGATTGCTGCAATTGTCGATCGGAAAATATTTTGCTGTCATGGTGGTAGGTTATATAATTAATATTTGAATTGTGAAGTATAATTTTCAAGTTCAAAGTTTTTTTCCAGACCATTTTCTGTCATAAAGTTTCCATATTGAGACTTTATCCAATGCTTGGTGTAGTAAAAGATTTTTAACCCGTAAGTGCCTTTGTATCATTGTTGATGTGTGTGTGTGTGTGGGGGGGGGAATCACTGTCTGAGCTGTGTCAAAGTTGAACGTAGGGTACTACACGATAAAATTGCAAGTCGGTCGATAAAACTGCAGACCTTCATCAACTTGGGTGATATACTACGCTGTACATGTTGTGACACCGCCTACCTCGATATGCAATGTTTGTTGAATGAAAATTGGGCTATAAAGAGACTAAGGGTTGGTCAAACCAAGATGTGGCAGCAACTGATGAAGTCACTGACTGTTGACGTGATCTGTGAAGGGAGATGTAAGCCACCTCTCTCTCTCTCTCTCTCTCTCTCTCTATATATATATATATATATATATATATATATATATATATATGTGTGTGTGTGTGTGTGTGTGTGTGTGTGTGGTTTTGAAGACGACACAAATCAATGGTTGGCTCAAAACGAGACACTAAGGCTCAGGTATTTACTTTCTTTATCATCTTCTAAGTGCTGAATAGTTAGAAACGTGGCCGTTAGAAGTAGAAGACATAAAGTGGTTACAGGTTTTTGATCATAATTCTCTTCGTGGTATCACTTGCTTTTGGTGGAATCACTGTGTGAGTAATCTTGAGGTCACGTAAAGGAGTACTACGCAAGACGTACAGGTTGATTGATGAGATTGTGAATGTTAATCGACTGAGGGTCGGCTTGCACACGTACTGCGCATGCCGAGCCACTGCCTACCTCGACGTGCGATGCTAGGGAAAGTTGGATAAGGTTGGAAGGGGTTCAGAGTGGCCAAGACATAACTTGGCAGCAGTTCATGAAGTCCCTGACCATTTTTCTGGTGGGTCGTGTGGGGAGATATAGACTGCATGGTTAGGGTCCCGTAGAAGAAAGACATCGGTGGTTGTGGACTCTTGGTGACGAGGCTGAAAGTCACTCTCAATGGTGCAGATGTATTCACTCCTTGACATCCCTCTAAAACTTGAATATTTTCACTAACTCCTTTTTGTTTGTATCCTACTTTAAAGTGTAGCGAATTGAATTGATGCATTTGTTTATCTGTGAGGTTCTTCGTTGATTTTCTCTGTTTCTGTCTGTCATCCATTTATCTTCTTAACTCACATACACTTATCGGTTTTTTCTATACACTTGTTCTTTATGTTGTACGGTAAAGTGTGACGTGTGCTGATGCACTTATGTATCAGGTTTCTATATTGGTTTGTGTTTCTGTCATTCATGTGTATTTCATTTTGACTTACCCATTCATTCTATAGAATAGATTACAACCCAGTTTGTCTCTGTTATCTTTCTCGTTATCATTTACTACTAGTGTAAAGGGTACCTAGAATGGCTAGACGTATTATGTTGAGAATATTCTGAGGAGAAAGTTGTGATCATCCATTATTATGGCACACTTTACTTGAATTACTTTCTGCCGCATACAAGTGACAATGTTATCGTCCAAGTGGCGGTGAGGGATACAGAAATGAATCTTGTAGGTTAGTTACAGTAGTATTTATCCACTTCAAAAGTGTATCAGTCAATGGAAAATGTAATCACAGAAGTTCACTTTTTTCAATTTCCGAATTCCAAAAACAGCCTGACTTTAAAGGCCACCTTAAGTATCAAATTACACTTCGGTATTTTATGAAAATCTGCCTTTCCAGCCGAAATAAAGAAACCTAATTGGTTATTTCGATCGTTGTTGGCGTGGCACTTAATATCACTCTGAACGGGGTGTGACTTGTAAGGGCCACCCTAGCAACGATCGGAATAACCAATCAGGTTTCTTTATTTCGTCTAGAAACGTGGATTTCCATCAAATTATTATTATTATTATTATTATTATTATTATTAGTCCCTTGGGTTCCTAGTGGAACATAGGGCTTCAGTAGCACGCCTCCAGTGACCTCTGTTCTCTGAGATCTTTTGAACCTGGTTCCACGACAGCCCACAACCTCTCATTTCCTCTTCGCATGACCTCCTCCATGTCACCCTCGGACGTCCAACTCGTCGCTTCCCATGGGGATTCCACTCGAGCAACTGGCCTGACGCGTGATGTCCTCAGTCGGCCTTCTCAGTGCATGCCCAACCCAATCCATCTCCACTTTCTTCTGCTGCATATTTGTTGCGTGATAGGTTCTTGGTTGGTTCGTTCCCAGAGTTCCTTGGATTTCCATCAAATGGAGACGTCTAATTGGTTATTTCAGTTGTTGCTAGAGTGGCCTTTAAAGTCACTCCACGTGTATGTGTCTAGGTCATCTGAAGGTAAAAATCGACGAGAAATGGCTATATGCTATAGTCAGAAAGACTTTAATTGACTTATACACAAACGAAATAAATGTTAGTTAATAAGACGAAGATAGATAGTTTGAAAGGCTTGACTTGGCTGCGAACCAAACCTAACAAACAAGAGATATTCAATAGGCGACTTTTAAGGTCAGGCCAACAACGATCGAAATAACCAATCAGGTTTCTTTATTTCGTCTAGAAACGCGGATTTCCATCAAATAGAGACGTCTAATTGGTTATTTCAGTTGTTGCTAGGGTGACCCTTAAAGTCACTCTATCTTCAGTTTTGGCATCCTCTAATAAAGGTAATAGATAAGGTTAAAATTTCTTCTGGCTCTGATATTTTGGCTATATGTGTATAACTATAAAACTTGGGTACTTGATGACGTTTCAAGCTTAAATTATCATTGCTCATAATCATATCGGTGTAATCACACTACTACTTAAGACATCTGATTTTTATAGTCCTATCACCTGATATTCTCTTTTTATCGGTAGTAGTAAGGCTTTTCGTATCTATGGTATGGGTCTGGCGTCATTTCTGTTGCATGTGTTGGGTTGGATGTTGATTCGGTGGAACAAAGATTCAGTAATCAATCAATCATTCTCTCTCTCTGTCTCTCTCTGGTTTTATCCCATGTTTGATTGCAAGATGATAAGACGAAGGACAGACGGTGGCTTGGGCACTACCGTCTTCTGGAAACCGACACATTCTAACAGGTATCTGGACTTGCAGTCATCTCATCCAATATCAGTGAAGGCAGGTTTAGTCAAATTTCTAAATGATTAAGCTAGAAAACTGACGAGTCTCTGCAAGGACTTAAACAGGGGACTGAACCCGTAAAAGAAGCTCTGATAATTAATAATTACCCTCTACGTAACGAAGTAATAGCAATAACGCGAGTACGAACAATAACGACAACACGAGGTGAAAATAGTTCACAGCCTCCCTTGTGTTAGCCTATAGAGAAGGGGTTCTCACAAAAGTTGGAATTAGGGTGACATTAAAACCTAAAAACTCACTCAGAGATAAGCTTTGTCAGCTGGCTTAAGAATCCGATAGACGCAGTTAAACAAAATAATCGAATCAATAATCTAGAAAAACATTCGGCTTTTGTAATGGATGCATTAACACACAACCACATACAATAGGGTGGGATAAAACTTACCGTACTCAAGTTCAATAATGGAATTAGGTGGAGAGAGATTGATTGATTGATTGATTACTGAGTCTTTGTTCATCGAATCAACACCCAACACATGTAATAGGGATGACGCAACACCTATGCCAGATATATGGAAAATTTTACTACCAATGAAAACAAATAATATCACATGGCAGGGCTATAAGGGTCAGAGGTCGACAGTGGAGTGTAATTGCATTGATATTATTATGATCTATGATAATTTATGCTCATAAGGTCATCAAGTAAACAACACTGTATCACTGCATGTTATAAATCAAATTGACAAGGCTAATATGAAATTGGCTACATACAATTTATTATCCCCAACTTTTACTGTTGGTGAGCCTATTGATTTGACCCGTGTTGGGTGGGGGGAGGGGGGGGGATGTAGACTATCTGGTTGGGCTCCTCAAAACGATAGGAATCAGTGTTTGGATAATCTTGGTGACATGGTTGAAAGTCGGTCACAATGACACAGATATATTCAATCTTTGATGTCTTGAATGAATGTTGTAACACTAACCTCGATTTTCAAATTTCTATACCCCTTCCGCCCCCATACACTATTTTCTACTTTAATATCAATCTTTTCTTAACAGCTTGTTGTTTGCATGCTACTGTGAAGTGCAGCAACTTGTATGCGACATGTTTCCACGTTGGATTTTGACTATCTGTCTGCCATCCTTATCTACTGTGCTTTGATGTTTGTTCATTGGTAATTGTAAAGGTGTGGAGTATTTTTCATCTTAATTTTTGGAATTATTTCAGTTAATTGGCATTTAGTTATGAGCTAGATGATGGTGTGCGAATAGTGGTTGGTACCCTAAGGTTTTGAATGATATCCTGAGTGGAATTCTCATTTGCTTGTGGACAATTCTTCTCTAGATGTAATGAATGATTATAGAGTTTACTTTGCGGTTAACCCCTATGATTATGCGAGTGCGTTAATCATTTTATGTTTTATCTATAATTGTATACATTAGAGATGATTATCAAACATAATCATTGCCGAAAACAAACAGATAACAAGTAAACGTTTCAGTATGTATCCTCCTGTACTGAATTGAAACTTGATATGAATACTTTTCTACTGATGTGAACTTCATCACTACCTATTTGTTGATATCCTTGTTATGGTAATAATTCATACCTCACTGGGGTGTTGGTAGGTCCAGCTGACGAGTCCTAAATAGGACGAAACGCGCGTCTTAGATTCCTCTGTTAGCCACAACCAAGCATATTTAGCAATACCTATTTGATATATCTACGTTACATTTCGTTACATACCTACTGAGTTGCCAGCCTACCTTTGGATTATGGCATTTTGAGGAGTTAAGAATAAGGATAGTTGAACTGGATTACCGTATCAACTTGTAACGATTTGGGCAAGGTGGATCAATGTCAACGTTTAAAGATCCTAATCAATAGTCAGTAATTTTAAGTTGGTCTTCATCATGGACTGACACCGATTGGAGGAACATTGGAAACCTGGGAGCACTGGACAACTGTTTTCTCCTAGTGCGGGATTCGTTAGCCGTGCGCATCCATGAACCCACCTCTCCAAGGCTCAAATCCGTGGCCTTCAGCTTCCATGGCCAGCACGTTGCCGTTAAGCCATTGGATCGGGATTTGGAAATATAGACCATTGGATTCCCACCCAGTGGCTCTGTGGTAACGTACTGGCCACGTAACCTGACGATCATGGGTTCGATCCATGAAGTGAAGGATCAAGGGTGCGCACTGCTGATGAGTCCCATACGAGGACGAAACAGTAGTACAGTGTCCCCAAGTTTCCAGTGTTCCTTCCATAATCGGTAATCTTTCTCCAATTATTCGATTGAATTACAAAAAAATCTTTATATTGGCTGATTGAACTTATTTTCCTCTCCACCCAGGTTTATCTCCAGACTTACAAAATATGGACCAAATAAGACGTATTATGCGACCATCAGACATTCCTGATACTGGTGAGTTGACATACTCTTATTTCAGTATCATTATTTCCTTAAGGTTTAATTGTGGTTTTTCCCCCGATTTTTAACACACGGACACAGGACTTTATAAAAGAAGGAACAAGTATATTTCAGCGAATAGTCTCTATTCAGCGATTTCATTTTCAAAGCTGCACAATCGCAAATTTGGAAATTTTTCTAATATAAGGAATTAATACTCTTGAATTTGTTGATGAAGATGATGAGATTAAGATGTATCTTATAAATGTATGATATCACTTGATGCCGAATCACTTCCCACCAATGTTCCACTTAACGAAACAATCTCACTCTTCTCCTGATACATATAAAGAAGATAATAAGATAAATGTTGGGCTAGCGACCCCGTGTCTTAAGGAATTGATACTTGGATGCACATTTAAAGATGGAATGATGAAATAGCCATGGGAACCGCCTCGAAGTCAACGATTGAAGGTTTACAAGTGTAGAAAAGTTATGTGGACGATACTTTTATTACCTGTGATCATCATTGTGATTTGAATTATGTTCTACAAATATTCAATAACTACGATTATTCATCCTTGAGGTTTGAAATCGATTGAAAATTCACTTTCTTGATGTGTAGGTGACAAGAAGAGTTGATGATGGAATGTTGAGTAGACAGATGACTTGACTTGAAACCAATGTGAGTGGAGTGGTCAACTGACGAATTTTTAATCGGTGAGTGCTTATGAGTGAGTGGTGAGTGAAATGTGTTCATGACATCTGTTGCCACTGGCATTGGTGGGATGTGGAGTTGCGATGTGTTAGAAGAGGAAATTTGTGTTGTAAAGAACATTGTGATTGAAGATGGATTTCCATCACGCTTCATAGACAGAAAGGCATCAAGCTTAAACCTTGTGAGGGGAACCGTACCGCCGTGCCAAAAAAGATACTTCATATGAATCTGAGCTTGGAAGGTGATTGTTGTGCTGACATTGTGAAGAAGGAGTTTATGAAACTCTCTGAGGAGAACATTGTTTATATTAACGCTGAGAGTAGTATTCTGTTGTCGTGGGAGGATTTCTGACAACTGGAAGAGGGAAACTTTGACATCTGACTACGACGTGTGTGTGTATATATCAGTTGACGTTCTTTTCTGGAGAGAGATGTATGTGGGTGGTTTGATGCGTGTGTTGTTGAATAATAATATCGCTGATGGTTACGAAGAGGTAAGAACAGAGTGATAAGGAGTGTTATAATTGAAAAGAATGGTGAACAGGAATCACGTCATCTGAAGAACCTCCTGATTCCAAATCATCTATGAAGTGCAAAGAAACCTTTGGAAGGTTGTATGTTTATTTATTGTGTGCATCGTTGAAGCTGTTTTCATGCATGCGGATAAAGGTGAAGTGTGTAGGCGAAGGAAGATTGTTCAATCGCTTCTTATTTCACGGCCTCAGTTTTCCTTCATTCTTTGAAATCTCCTCTCCCTCTTTCTTGATAGTATTCACTTCTGAAGTAATTCGCTATTCTTGCTGTTATACATATATAATTCCTGCACGAAAAGTGTCTTATTCCAAAGACAAAATGGCACTATCTTATTGGCTACGGAATCATCCAATCAGGTTGTTTTGGGAAAGTTTTATGTTTTCTTCCTTAGGTCAATTTGAAACAGCTTTGGTCTTCTTTTTTGTCGAAGTGATCTTCTAGCTGGAACCGAGTGGAGTCTGATTTGCATTTTGTGTTTCTAGCGACGGTATCTAGTAAAACTCCAGGCATAAAATCCTTCTGTCTCTCCTGAATCTCGTATATGGTTCACATGTTGGACCCAATTTTATCCTTCTAGATTTTCTTTACGTCCAACTACTTACCCATGAATCTATTGTTTGGAGATAATAAGCGAAAATCGCGCATCTGTTTTTTGGTTTGATCGAAATTCTCGACTCATCTCCTCAAGTTGGCGATTGAACTGGTTTTCCATTTTCGTATTCCTATACACATTTCCTGTTCACTTCGTGAAGGGTTTTAACTTTTCGACCAAATATGATTTCTGGTGGTGATAGTCGATTAGGAGCTGAAGGATTCGATATCAAAAATTTTATCCATTGTCCCCTCCTTATTTTGCTTTTATGATTGCTCGTTTGAAAGTATCAACAAAGCCTTCCACTTGACCATTGGATTAGCGGTGATATGGGGGAGGGCACGAATATGTCGAGTACAAGGCTCAATTACAAAAGTTTGAGAACTCAGATGACGTTCATCTTTCAACCAGTATACTATACTATAGTTTGTATACCTTCGCTTCAGTCTTAACCACACTATTGTCATACAGTGCAGTAGGTATAAAATAACCTGATAAACGAACACGCGTTTTAGTTACGTTACGTTTTCATATGAGTGCCAAAACACACCAGTTATGCCTTATAAACTGAATGTTTACAGTTTCGATCGAATTGCATCTTGCATGACAACACTTGTCATGACCCATTTTAATTGACTTATTCAATTTATCACAGGGTGGAACAGTATTATTTACTGGCTTGCGTTTTGGACATCATTTGTTGTCCATAGTCGATGTATCAAGATAACTACACAACTTTGACATGTCCTTTATATAGTCCTAATTTCCTCACCGCCTTTGTAGTTATGGACTGAGTCATTCCTGTTGCATGTACTGAGTAGGTGTTGGTTGACCTACCGTGCTATGTCCCATCCTATTGTATCGTTGCATAGCTGTGGCTGAGCTTCTTCCTAAATCCCTTACTTTACTAGGATCTGTCAATTTTGACCTAACTAGATGTTTGTTCTCGGATAGCCTAACTGACCCTGGTCGACTACTTTGACTGCTTGTATTTGACGTCATAATCGTTGCAAGAGATTCGGCAAATTAAATTATTCTACCTAATTGGATTAATTTGTCATTATTATTTGTCCTTTCGGTTCCTAGTAGAACAAAGGGCTACAGTAGCACGTCGCCATTGCAGTCTCTTCCCTGCCATCTTTTCAACCTGGCTCCACGACTGCCGACAAGCTTTAATTTCTTCCTCACACGGTCTCCTCCATGTTACCCACGGCTCGGATACCCAACTCGTCGTTTCGCGTGCGGATTCCACTCGAGGGCCTGGCATGTAATGTCCTCTGTCGCTCTTCTCAGTGTATGTCCAATACAATCCATCTCCACTTTGTTCTGCATACTTGTTGGTTAGTTCATTGCCAGCCTCTGAGTTCCTTATTGCTTATTCTTTCTGGTCATCTGATCTTCAGTATCGAGTGAGTGTAGATGGCAGCTGTTGATGTATGTCTTGCATGACCATTCTTAGATAGTTTGGAAATGAAACGGAATAGTTGTTTGACCCTGCCATTTTTTTTGCTCTGGTTAACAATGATTTCCTGTAAGAGCACGTTAGCATGAAATCAGTAAATTTCTTTGGAATAGTGTAAGAGAGGGAACACCATAGAGTCATTAACATTTGAGCATATATATTGCAAGTTATAGCCATATCAATCATATAATAGATAAGTGTAGTTAAGACTGGGTGGACAGTCAGACTTCGTTATTCACCTAGTAGAGCAAGCAAATCAGTAGTCCTGAGGCAACTAATTTGAGTTTTGCCATGATTGAACCTAAATGGTTAGCAGTTTTTTATTATGTAATATAAGGTGTCAATTTATATATATTCATCACTCATCAGATTGTAACCATTTCAACATTTTTTTCTCTCTTTATTTCTTTTAAAAAAAATCTTTCTTCAGGACTGTTGTGTGATATATTATGGTCAGATCCAGATAAAGATGTTAACGGTTGGGCAGAGAATGATCGAGGTGTAAGCTTCACATTCGGTCCAGATGTTGTCACAAAATTCCTTAACAGACATGATTTGGATTTAATTTGTCGTGCGCATCAAGTAGTCGAAGATGGCTTTGAATTCTTCTCTTGTCGTCAATTAGTCACCTTATTCTCTGCGCCTAATTACTGTGGAGAATTTGATAATGCCGGTGGTATGATGTCTGTTGATGAAAATCTAACCTGCTCCTTTCAGGTATGCATTTTTATTGTTAAAAACTTTTCAGAATAACGCTGCAGTTGATGTGTTTCATTCTGTTTACTCTACCTTAAGATAGAGATGTGAATATTGTTGACAGTGAAGGTATTTGTTAAACTTAAAATATGCAGATGACATAGTCTTGTTAAGTGAAGACGCTGACAAGATGCAGAGTCTGCTGAACACTTTGAGTGGGAATTTGAGAATGTTTGGGATGCGATTTTCACCACCCAAATGCAAATTTTTTGCTCCAAGACTGGTCTTCAGCGGTGCCCCACCGTGGCTAACAATAGAGAGTGAAGTGGTTGAGTGTGTTGACCACTTCACTTACGTGGGAAGTAGGATCAACCCTGGTGGGTTAGTTGCCGATGGAATCTCTGCTTGGATACCGAAGTTTCGATTGGCTTTTGCCAATTTGCGCCACCTATGGCGCCGCCGTGATATCCGTTTGTCTACTACGGGTCGCGTGTACTGCACAGCAGTGCGGTCTGTTCTACTGTATGGCTGTGAAACATGGCCATTGTAAGTTGAAGATATAAAAAAGCTTCAGGTGTTTGACCACCCTTGCCTTCGTAGTATAGGCCGTATTCCGTGGTGACACCATGTGAGTAATTCAGAAGTAACGTGTAGAGTTTTAGGCAGTAGAGGTGAATCAGTAGACGAGGTTATAAACCTTCATCGGTTGAGATGGTTGGGACACGTACTACGTATGCCTAGTCACCGATTGCCTCGTCACACAATATTGGCCGAAGTAGGTGCAAGCTGGAAAAACGCCCGAGGTCGCCAGAATGGAACATGGCATGAATGTATGAAGTCCCTGACTGTTAGTTTGAGCCATGTGGGGCGATGCAGACTAGGTGGTTGCGGTCCGTGGGACAAGAGGAAGCAGTAGTTGGAGACTGGCTCTAGGTGATGTGGCTGAGAACCGATGTCAGTAGCACATATGTATACACACATGATCCTCATCTTAACGACGCTATGCCGATTCTCACCATTTTGTCATTCCTCTCTTCTTCTCTTACTTTCTTTTTCTTCTGACTGCATTCTCTTATCTTCATTCTTCATCTCACTACTTTTGTACTTGATGTAGTGATATGAGGTGTTGCAACTCGGACCGTTACACAGTAATGCCTGGTCCTATGTTTATATTGATTGATTGACTGAGTGAAGGTATTGATTATTTAGAAGTTTCATTGAGTGTATATATCAGAGAAGAGTCTCTTTTCTCGGCGATTTCATTTTCAAAGCTGTCATTAAGATCAAAAAACTGTGATGAGTAGTGAATATTGATAGAACTTTGCGTGGACAAGAAGACGTTTTGTAATATAACGACATACTTCGAAACTGAACTATGATGAGAAAGTGTAACAAATCACTTCAGAAATGAATAGGTGTCAAAAAGGGGAGAGGAGATTTCAAGGAATGAAGGAAAACTGAGGCCGTGAAATGAGAAGCGATTGAACAATCTTCTTTCGCCTACACAATTCACCTTTATCCACATGCATGAAAACAGCTTCAACGATGCACACAATAAAAAAACATACAACCTTCCAAAGGTTTCTTTTCACTTCACAGATGATTTGGAATAAGGAGGTTGTTGAGATGACGTGATTCCTGTTCACCATTCTTTTCAATTATAGCACTCCTTATCACTCTGTTCTTACCTCTTTATAGCCATGCGGGATGGTGTTCTTCAATCCTGTCGGATAACAGTTACATCGGCCGACCTATATACTTGCTCCACAAGAGCAGGTCAGCTGATATATGCTCATAGATGTTGGTCAGATGCTTCGTCTGATTCAAGACATGTCTGAATCTCCCTACCATGGAATCCCGCAGTGGCTAGCCGAATACCTAGAACCTGTAAGAAGACGAATTGGCATCCACTCTCTACATGATACCCTTAAATTTGTTGATTACATAAGAAATGGAGACGTACACAATAAAAGTGTATGATATCACTTGATGCCGAATCACTTTCCACCAATGTTCCACTTAACGAAACAATCTCACTCTTCTCCTGATACATATAAAGAAGATAACAAGATAAATGTTGGGCTAGCGACCCCGTGTCTTAAGGAATTGATACTTGGATGCATATTTAAAGATGGAATGATGAAATAGTCATGGGAACCCCAAACTACTTTATCGCCATTTTCGAGAACGCTCGCTCGAAGTCAACGGTTGGAGGTTTACAAGTGTAGAAAAGTTATGTGGAGTATACTTTTATTACCTGTGATCATCATTGTGATTTGAATTATGTTCTACAAGTATTCAATAACTACGATTATTCATCCTTGAGGTTTGAAATCGATTGAAAATTCACTTTCTTGATGTGTAGGTGACAAGAAGAGTTGATGATGGAATGTTGAGTAGACAGATGACTTGACTTGAAACCAATGTGAGTGGAGTGGTCAACTGACGAATTTTTAATCGGTGAGTGCTTATGAGTGAGTGGTGAGTGAAATGTGTTCATGACATCTGTTGCCACTGGCATTGGTGGGATGTGGAGTTGCGATGTGTTAGAAGAGGAAATTTGTGTTGTAAAGAACATTGTGATTGAAGATGGATTTCCATCACGCTTCATAGACAGAAAGGCATCAAGCTTAAACCTTGTGAGGGGAACCGTACCGCCGTGCCAAAAAAGATACTTCATATGAATCTGAGCTTGGAAGGTGATTGTTGTGCTGACATTGTGAAGAAGGAGTTTATGAAACTCTCTGAGGAGAACATTGTTTATATTAACGCTGAGAGTAGTATTCTGTTGTCGTGGGAGGATTTCTAACAACTGGAAGAGGGAAACTTTGACATCTGACTACGACGTGTGTGTGTATATATCAGTTGACGTTCTTTTCTGGAGGGAGATATATGTGGGTGGTTTAATGCGTGTGTTGTTGAATAATAATATCGCTGATGGTTACGAAGAGGTAAGAACAGAGTGATAAGGAGTGTTATAATTGAAAAGAATGGTGAACAGGAATCACGTCATCTGAAGAATCTCCTCATTCCAAATCATCTATGAAGTGCAAAGAAACCTTTGGAAGGTTGTATGTTTTTTTTATTGTGTGCATCGTTGAATCTGTTTTCATGCATGTGGATAAAGGTGAAGTGTGTAGGCGAAGGAAGATTGTTCAATCGCTTCTCATTTCACGGCCTCAGTTTTCCTTCATTCCTTGAAATCTCCTCTCCCCTTTTTGACACCTATTCATTTCTGAAGTGATTTGTTACACTTTCTCATCATAGTTCAGTTTCGAAGTATGTCGTTTTATTACGAAACGTCTTCTTGTCTACGCAAAGTTCTATCAATATTCATTACTCGTCACAGTTTTTGGTTTTATTGACAGGTCATACGCAGGTACTATTTGTGTTGTCTGGGATGTCTGGTATCTATCAAATTCTTGCACTATAATAGTGTCTAAATGTGCGATTATGCAGCTTTGAGAATGTGAAATCGCTGAATACGTACTCTTTCTATGTATGCTTGTTCTTTCTTTCATGTTTAAGAGTTGTTTTCGTTTTGTGTCATAGGTGGTATATATTTCCTATGATCTTTATGGTGGTTAGTTATCATGCTCTGTAATCGATATGCCTAATATTTGTTTACGTTTTTTTTCAACTGTGATAACCAAGTCAAGGTTGTTTTCAGTTATGGATATGTAAATGTAAATCTTTCACAGACAGACTAGGTCGTCGACAGATACAATCAGTTTACAATCTAGTTTTTGAAGAATGGTCTTGTTAGATTGACTAATGACGCGTGTTTCGTTATATATGTCGTGCTCGTCAGCTGCGTGTTATTCTCTTTGAGATTCAAGCTGCAAAGTAATCGATTTTATGTCATCTAGTCGTAAGTGCTAGTAGAATTCTTTCGGTGACTTTTTCACCATGCTCTCTAGTTATCTAAGTTTCGCGGTGAACTTCGGTTGATATAAGACATATGAAGTCAATCCCCAGTGGAATGGTTCTCAACACCATGTTTTCTCGATCACCTGTTAAGCTTTTATGTCTATATGTTGAACTGGTTATACCCTATTTTGTTTTATGAAAATAGGAAGATCTCCTAATTCGGCTGTAATCATCGTGTGTGTGTGTGTGTGTGTTTTGATAACGTAGTTGTCTTGTCGTGTGATGAGCTGTTACAGTTAATGAATACAAATATTGATGCTAGATGATGATTGAAAGTCAATTGAAAATTTCGACCGTGGTCGGATTTTTAAGCCAGCTACAACCGGGTTCCTGGCCCTTATGCCCTACGAACTGAGCTACTAGGTCCGGCTACTGACCACATTTTTACTTTATTTGAATCACCAAGGCTTTTTCCCGACTATCATATGAACTCGTGACGCGTTACTTGCCGTTTAATCGTATTCACATTGGTTGGCTGACTGGCTAGTCAAATCTCATCCAAATACAAATGTAACTTGAATTAGAGAGAGGAAGCATCATACTTTATAGCATAGTTTATGTGAAATATGGGAAATATTTTACTTCCTCCATCAGAAACGGGTTAAAACTATGTTGATTATTGGGATTAAAGTAGAATGATCTCATTCAGCGAAGTAAATAACGAAATACAGTCTATTGATTAAAGAGGCAACAAGATTATGTTTGATGAATGGAAATCCATATTAAGCTACACCACCTATACTCTCTGACCATCAGCTTCACCTGTGGCATCGATCTCAACCTTAAAACCTGCACTTCACACGAATCAAGTCAGCAGTAGGATATTTCAGTTTAACAATTTTCCACCGAATTGTGCATAATCCAAATAATGTTGGTGTTACGAATATAATACACACGCTTATCTGACAGCTAACTTCGTATGGAAAAGTCACCGACTGCAACCCGGGACGAATATAGAGAAGAAGACCGAAGCTGAATGGGAGAGTTCATCTATTCATCCATGAATAATAATCAATAAATTAATTCAAAAAACACGTGAGTATGTATGCACATAAAATATGACCTTGTCCGCAAATTGAGACATTGACATAGAGTAAAGATTAACCAATCAGCGAATTACCTTGAAAATGAGGGCAAAAAATAAACTATTAATCATGCTGTAAAAACTGTGTGAGAATGATAAGTTAAAAATATTCAGATCAACCACAATGTTTTATGCAAGATTGGGCCTTCCAACAAAAATAATATAGTAGCACTCAGACGAGGAAAACAAAGTCAGAAATGAATTGGTAAAGGTGTAGTCTCAAAGGTACATCTGAAGAAGCTCTCATTACCTTTGTTTTACGTTTCAGAGACAAGGTAAACGGAGAAACTGCAGTATGACCGCCACTGGTTTCGATTATGAGTCATGCATGTTGATGTGAAAGTGTTATGTTGCTTAACCTCCTGGATCTCATTCATACATGTGACCCATCTACAGTTGCTAATCCAATAGAACCATCTTCGTCCCACAGGACCGCGTGATAAGCTGATCGCTTCTCCGCTTGTTCCAATGAGTCCTAGGACAAGGGAACAGCGAGCTACGTGTGTGAGAGAGCCGTTTAGACGACATATGTAACATACGTATGTTTCAAGATTATGTCACTCAATAAATGACGATCTCAGTCATCTCCAACTACACACCACCCTATCTCAGATTTGTTTACATGGCGTTTCCATTGAATGCGAGCAATGCTACGGAGACAACGCTGCTCAGAAACGCCGAGTTGGCGGAATTCTTCATACTGACGTAAAGAAGAATTGCCTGCACAGGCGCATTGTATACTCGATTTTCTACAACTTGGCTAACGTCATGATGATGCCAAAGCTGAACCAGATTGGTGCATGTTGCTCTGACTTTCGATATGGGATTGAAGATATCATGAATCACACCTCCCCTAGCACTTACACTACTGTCCAAATACACAAACATTTCAATATCTTCCAGGGTTAGGGTTAGGACACAGGCTCTCGATTATGACTAGTTGGCTTATTACCCGTTAAGCTTCCAGTCTCTCATATTTGTTGAAGAAATATTTACTTTCACAATATGAACTGACAGAAGTAGGAAATATGGACCATTGGATTACGACCAAATAGCTCAATGGTAACGTGTTGACCACACAGCCTGGAGGTCCTGTGTCCGAGGCCTGGTGGGGTGAGGTCATGGGTACGCATTGTTGAAGAGTCTTATACTAGGACAAAACAGCTTTCCTATGCTCTCAGGTTTCTAATGTTCCATCACACTGAAGTCAAGGAGATCGCTACACACCTCCAAATTCAATCAATATGAGTTTGATTGATAAATAAAAGTAATAATAATGTGTACATGATCTGGTATGAAGTTTCATTTCAGTTTATGAAATCCTTTAAATATTAATTGAGTTAGTAGATAGCTAACTGTAGTAGTAGCTTTTCTCACGGCAATTCTTTAGTGTATCCAACTCTTCTTTAGTCTATATGTGTATTTTTGCTTTAATTAGGACGGTCAATGTGACACTCATGTGTGTGTGTGTATATATGTATGTTCTGTATTACTTTGTATATCGCAGTAATATTTTTCATCTCTTCATCAGCATACATACATGCACATACACACACATACGCACACGCGGATGGATTCACCTGCAATCAGTTGATTTAGTGTGCATGTGTGTGTGTCTGTGTGTATGTGAATAGATGCACGCCGTGCTTATCGATTTGTTCATAAACACGTCTTGTTCAATGCCTTCAATGGGCGAGAAGATGAAAATAGCTTCTCTTTTTTATGGTTCAACATAAATATTGTGAATGTCCAATAGATATCCGGTGCTTTATCGATCATCAACTAAAATTAGTATGAGATATGGTGATGTAGCGACTTTGACACACAAACACACACAGAGGGGGGGAGAGAGATATGTATATGCTTATATACACCTGTTTGTTTACATTCCTGTATAATTGTATCTTAATAGTTTTCGTTTAAACGTTTATCAAAGTGATCACTTACAGATCACAATATGTGGTAATATTATTACAACATACTTTTTTCAGGTGTTAAGAGAATATGGTAACTGTGATGAGGATTATTGAACATCATTAGAGGTATAATAGTGCAACTGAGTCGTCAACTTGTGTAGATGTTGAAGTGTGCTGTTGTGTACACTCTACATTTTCTTGCCATAGAAAACATCATTTCATGGATATGGGTAGTTTGGCTTACCATTCGTTTACTTTTTACTTATATGAATGTAGATGTCACTAGTGATACCGAGAAAAAACTATTCTCAGCTAGGACCTTCATCTCTCGTGGTGAATTCATAACCATTAATCCACGGAGTTGGAATCCAATAATCCACATTCTCCTTCTTCTGTCAGTTCGTCTTATAATGCGAACATCATCCAATAGATAGACAGACAGACAAAATCAACTTAAAATCTTGCACACCTTAAGTTGTCACACTTCACAGTAGTATATAAAGAACCAAAGTAGAGGAAGTTGTGACTATCTGAAGATAAAAGTCGGTGGGAATACTCAAGCTTCAGATGTCAAGGAGTGAGTACATCTGAGCCATTGTGACCGATTTTCAGCTATGCCACAAAGACTCCTCAACCAGTGATTCCTATTGTTTCGGGACCCCCAGAGGGGCTGTCTACATTTTCCCACACAACTCAGACTGCCAGTCAGCGACTTCATGAATTGGCGCTACGTCATGGTGTGGTCAGTGTGAACCATGTCCCAGTATAATCTAACTTCGCCAACCGTTGCATATCGAGGTAGCCGGTGGCTCTCCATGCCTAGCATGTGTCCAAGCCATCTTAACCGATGAAGGTTTACCACCTTATCAACCTACTTGGTTGTTTTGCTCAGTACTTTTCTCCTGATCTCAACGTTGCTCACATGTTGATTCCACCACAGCAGGACAAAATAAACTGCAGCGCAGTATACTCGTCTTTTAATAGATAGTCAAGTATCTAGCGAATCAGTTACTGAGATGGTGTATGTTGGCAAATGCCAAACGGGTCTTCGGAACCTGAGCTTAGATTTCATCATTAACCAGTCTGTTCTCGAGCTGATGTAACTCCCCACCACCACTTCACTCTGCGTGGTTAAACTGACCAGTTCTGTAGCATCGTCTTACATTTGACAGGTGTGAGATGTTTGACAAGCAAACATAGATATCTGTTCAACACGCTCAAAACATCTTACATTTTATCAGCGTCTTTACCAAGCTCGACAATACCATCTGCATACTTCGAATTAACTAAATGATCCGCTTGGAGTAGATCACTCCCTGTGAAGTCAGGTGTACCTTAGGTTTATGTCTGTTAGTAGGTCTATGACGAAGTTAAATAGAAACAGTGAACACCACTAGTTGTCATGACTTCGCATGACAACTTCCCATTGGCTATCACAAACCTTCGTTAAGCATTTTGACTCGGTTATCCCAAGCGCTTTTTCGATGTCCTTCAATTCCTTGCGTAGGTCCTTGTATTAACTAGTCAGTTTACTGGCTGTATGATTTAGACATTTGACTAAACCTGCCTTATTTGACATTGAATGAGATGACTTGAAGTCTAGATACCTGTTGGAATGTGTCGGTTTTCTGTGGACGGTAGTATCCAAACGACCATGTATGCTTCGTTTTATCCTGCAATCCATCAGAGGTAATTCTCCTTGTTCTTTTCCTACCTCGTAAGTGAATTACATTGTGCCTACTACAGAGTTGTGTGTTGCATGATCCAGTTCAGTCCAGTCGATCACAATCAGGAAGATGATGGGTGATAGTAGGTGGCAACATTGTCGTACTCCTGTCTTCACGTCCTTTCAAACGCGTCACTGAGCTTTCCATTGTGAATCATTTCGCATGTAGCATCATCCTATAGCATAGCATATAGGTGCTGTGGAATGAGGTTGATAAAGGTGTATGACACTGAGATCGTAGTATTGAAGCAGCAGCTGCCAAATTAATTGTCGATCGAGGATGTCGAACACCGGCTTTTTCAAAGTGGATGAAGTTGAAATAGAGTTGAGTTGACTGGCATTCTATACCCTGTTCTATGATGATGCGGCGTAGCGTGGTGTTGCAATTTGATGTGCACATAATTTATTTTTCGTGAAGCCAGTCAGCCAACCTGTTCCGGTCTTAATTTTGAGTCGAGAGCATTTTTAGTGTCTCCAAAATGATGCGGTTTAATATTTTTATATTTTCTTTTTGTGATGTGAAGTTTATTTAGCCATTGGATTGGTTTTCCGGGATAGAGTTGCTAACCCTGTGTCTAAACTTTCCTTTTAGGGACCAGCTAGTAAACTAGACGATATTATTTATTCACTTGTTATGCATAAACTATCCATATATTTATATTATTAATCTCCCTTAGATACTGAAACCATCTGAAAAGAAAGCTAAATACCAGTACCAAAGTGCTACTCCAACTGGTAATTCAGCTAGATCACCTGCTCGTATTGGTTGAATGATGGTGATAATGAAATATCTCCGACTATATATATATATATATATATATATATATATATATATATATATATATATATATATATAATAGTGTGTTGTATACTGAAGTCTCTAAGGTTACACACTAAAAACTGACAATTCATATAATCTCAGTGAATACTTTTCAGACAGACGTCTTAAATAATGATCATATTAATGCCAAATAATAAATTCTGATTTTCTACCCGTTTTTGCTTATCCATCATATATACTATTATATCAGTATTCCTACTACCTATCACTATGTATGTATGTATGTGTATACAGTCTATTCTTTTCTCTATTATTTCTTCTGGGAACTTGGAACTCAACACTTTGAATAATGTAAGTTTGTTGTTCATTGAAAACTGTTACTTTTTCTTCACTCATCTTTATCATCATGAATACATAAACATTTCATAAATATCTGACTAGATTTTCCTATCTATCCTAATTCTGCTATAAGAAAAGAGAGAGAGAGAGTAAACACAAGACCGGAAAATTGTTTTTACTGCTCAAAAAAAATTCAGTTTTTCAAATTGTTTCTAACCTTTCTCATCGATACATTCATAAAACTGATGATGAAAACAGTTGAATATGTAAGGGACTAGTTTTTGTTTTTCCTAGCCCCCCCCCGCCTTCTCTTTCTCCTGTGTAAAAGTTTCTCCAGTTGCCCCCCCCGTCCTCCTCCTCTTTTGTTGGAGGCAAACAACAGTTTTGTCTTTTCTTACCTATCATTCTTGATCACTTTGCTTGTATAACATGGATATTTCAAGTTTTACTGTTCTATTGTATATCTGTGGATAGTTGGTTGATTTTCTGTTGTTGTTGTTTTTTCTCTCGGTTTTTGTTTAACTTTTCATGGTGACTAGTGTGTATCACATTTTGTGCAGTATTCAATAGTACTTACTAAGCGGGTGGTGTATTTGATCGATTATTTGTTATATTTACGGCTTTATTCTTTGTTGTTGTTCTCTTCTTCGAATTTTTCGTCTATTTTAACATAATATTCAATTGAATAAACCTTTTTACATTCTACACCATAGAGATATAAGTTAAGCATTATATATTCTCTATGTTTTGTTGGCAAGGTGAATAATGAATGAAATGATGCTGTAAACAGAAGAGATAACATTACGTTTATTGAGTTGCTCTGCTCTTAATTTGTAATGATGGGCGCAGGAATCAATCCACCCTGGAACACGTCACCCACCCACTCATCTCGTATACACACTATGTACTACTGTTTAATAATACAAAAAAAACAAGAGGGGGAGGTCAAGTTGATATCCCCCCCTGTCCATATTATTTATTAGTTTGTTTGTTGAAATTTGTTTCCTTCTACACTTTTTTTCAAAATATTTTCATTGCTTGACTTTGAGATGATGTATTGGTTGGTGTATAACAACTTTCTCATGATTGAGATCAATTACAAAGGTATCTATGTTGTGTTGTAGTAGTTCTAGTATTTCCTTAGATCATTTACAAACACTACATTGTATATGATCCTTTGTTCTCTGTTTTACCTGAGTTCTATCTTCTTGTTTCCTTTTGAATATATATAAATTTTTAAAACATATCCCCCCCCCCTCTGGCCTCCAATTCTGCTTAATACAAATAATTTTAAACGTTCTACTTTTGATTATTGTACAGTAAACTGCATGGGTGCTTCGCAGGTACTGAGGCATCATGTTTATCTTTTATAGTCGTATCGCTACTGGTTATTTAAAACCTTCAGATTCCCACCCCTTGATGGTAGCTGAGGTTTCTAAGTAAACGGAACTGAAGGTGTGTGTATTTCAAAGTCAAAACTATATATAAAGGTTTATATATATATATATATATATATATATATATATATATATATATATATATAGTGGTCCACTGGATCATGCAACAAACAGTGAGAAGCGAGAAGGGGGATTACACTGGCTGGACCGGGGAAAACATCCTAAAAGATTTGGATTTCGACGATGACTTGTGTCTAGTGTCACACAAAACCGAAGATCTACTGGCGAAACTAACAAGTTGACAGAAGAGACAGAACAGTGAAGATGCGACTTCAAGTGAATATAGACAAGACAGAGGTGATGAAGATACCCAACCAATAACAGCAAACTGCGATCACCACCAATGGAAGAAACTTATAGGAAGTAGCCTCTTTCACCTATCTAGGAAGCACTGTTTCAACTACATGTCGCGGCACAGGCACAGACGACGACGTCAAAGCCAGCCAGGATAGGAAAGACAACAAGACAGGTGTTCATTAGCCTGAAACCAGTGTGCAAATCTTCTGCACTCAGCGTAAAGCATAAAGCATGAAAAACATCCGAATTTTCAACACTAATGTCAGTCAAGTAAGTCAGTGCTTCTTTGTGATGGTTGAGAGACTTGGCGCGTTACGAAAGGGATTTCCAACAAACTACAGATATTCATCGACAGATGCCATCTCTGCTGGCTCGTTACTGCAGATCAGATGGTCAGAATAATAAGAATAAGCAACAAGGAATTCACTCTGGCTGGCTAACTGGCTGGCTGTCAACGAACCAACGAAGCAAGAACCTATCACTCAACAAATGTGCACTGGAAGGAAGTGGAGGTGGATTGGAGTGGGCATACACTGAGAAGGCCGATTGTGGACATCACGCGTCAGGCCAGACCAGGCACTCGAGTGTAACCCAGATGGGAAACGACGAGTTGTGTGTCCGAGGTGAGGGTGACATTGAGGAGATGGTGTGAGGAAGAAATGAGAGCTTGTGGGCATTCGTGTAGCCAGGTTGGAAAGATTGCAGCGAAGGGAATGCACTGGAGACGTGCTACTGAATATATATATATATATATATATATATATATATATATATATATATATCTACAATGTTCTTAGCTATTTTCAGGCGTTTCTCGATTTCTATGTCTGCATTAATTTTCGTTCCTTCAATGAATCTGATATTTACACATGTTGGTTCAGGTGCTTTTTCTTGAAACTTCAGTGCTACATCGTTGTAAAAAGCCTCATGGATTCACGCCCTTTTTATGTAGATTCTAGCAATGTTATTCCACATTATTAACATTTAGCATAACATCACACATATGGAGCTTTCAGGGAGTCGACTACTATCAGTTTAGTTGTAATAAACGTCTGACTATGTGTATGAATGTTATTCATGGACATGAATGGAGAAAACAGTTGATCATGAGAAATAAACGCTTGAATGATTATCTCCAGTTCTATATTCATAGACTAGGCGAGAAACAGAATCCTTGATGATTGAAGATATCTGGTAAGTAGATAGGTTTTGCAGCTAAACTGGTTGAGCTTCGTGTCAGTAACCTGGAGGTTACTGCTTTTGAATCCTACCACAGCCCAGATTATAACTTCACCTTCAGTTATCACTCATTATCGAAAAGTAAAGGTTGTTAACCACATTTTTCCCGACTAAAATGATAATACACGTGAAAAAATCAGTCATATTAAACTGAATATCTCATGAATAATTTACTGGTGAGTACAGTATCTGGATGACTTTCGGAATGCTGAGAGGAACCATAATGGATAACGCCTAGGGGTTTGAAGCGATGGAATACAGGTTTATCCGGCTGTTGAGTTTGAAGTAGGACGAAACAAACACTTATTGCGTACTCCACTGTTAGTCACCAAGATAAATAAAAGCATCTCCCTAGTTTTCAAGTGAGATCTAAGTGCTCATATGCTCTGTAGAAAACCGAACCCCACTTAGCTTCCTTGTGCACATTCGTGTAGTAGGCAATGAGCCATACTCTTGTTGAGTGAGGGTGGTTTTTGAACCTCGTACCTATTGGTTGCGTACTCCAACGAGTCACAATTCCATTATGCTTCAAAAGGTTTAGCTCAGCCAACAAAAGCAGCTTTTATGTTTAATAATCAAATGAAATTATTACATTTTACAAATCTACTTTGTATCATTATTATTATTCCCTTGTGTTCCTGATGGAACATATGGCTTCACTAGTACGTCTCTATTCCACTCTCTTGTCTCTAATCTTTTGAACTTGGCTCCACGACTTCCCAGAAGCCCCCACTTCTTCCTCACATGATCTCCATGTCGCCCTCGCCTCGGACGTCCAACTCATCCTTTCTTATTTAGGTTCCACTAGAGAGCCTGACGCATGATGTCCCCAGTCGGCCTTCTCAGTGTATGCCCAATCCATTTCCACTTCCTTCCAGTGCATATTTGTTGAGTGATAGGTTCTTGCTTCGTTGACAGCCAGCCAGAGTGAGTTCCTTGTTGCTTATTCTTATTATTCTGACCATCTGATCTTCAGTAACGAACCAGCGTAAGTGGCAGTTGTTGTTGATGAATGTCTGTAGTTTGTTGGAAATCCCTTTCGTAACGCGCTAAGTCTCTCAACCATCACATAGAAGCACTGACTTACTTGTCTGACATTAGTGTTGAGAATCCGGATGTTGTTCATGCTTTATGCTTTACGCTGAGTGCAGAAGATCTCCACACTGGTTTCAGGTTAATGAAAGCAGGCCTGTCTTGTTGTCTTTCCTATCCTGGCTGGCTTTGACGTCCTCGTCTGTGCCGCCAGATCTTCTTGACCTCATGATATTTACCACTGTCAGTTGTTTTTATTAAGTCATGATCAATTTCATTATGATTGAATTCACATAGCTTGGATTTGAATTGGAACCAGTCAGTTTGTGATTATAAATTAACTATGTAGATATCCAAGAAAGGTGTCTTACAGTTGGTCTTGTAGTTAAAAGTTGCGTTTTAAATAGTTTTTTTTTCTCTCTCTATCTCAGATTGATTCATTGATCGAATTACAGTATTCCAGTTAATGGACGTACAAAATTTCACATAGTTATACGAAAGTCCAGAAATGTTTTATTTTTTATCTCTGTATTATTGATTCCCATAATTACTATTTGAGCAAGCTGAGCATTATCTATCAACAAAGGACCAGACATTACTTCGTAACGGTCGAAGTTACCACAGCTCATATCACCATATCAAGTAAAAAGGCAGTGAGGTGCAAGATAAAGATAAGAAAATTCAGTCAAAAGAAATATTAAGTACTAAAAAGGAGAAAATCGTGAGATTCGGTATAGCATCGTTAAGATGGGGATAATGAATGTATACATCTGCGCCACTGAAATCGGTTGTCAGCTATATCACCTAGAGCCAGTCTCCGACCACTGGTTCCTATGGTACCCCGGACCTCAACCGGCTAGTGTGCATCATCCCACATGGGTCAAACACTTCATATATTGGTGCCATGTTCTAGTCTGGCTGCTTCGAGCCTTTTTCCGACCTGGACCTACTTCAGCCGACATTGTGTGATGTGGTCGACGGCGATTAGGCATACGTGATACGTCGATGAAGGTTCACAACCTCGTCAGCATAGCAGAGTACAACTCTACGCTTGTCAATGAATACACTTTATCCAAGCAGATTAGTCAAAAATCTGACATTATCCACATATTTTGTAGTGAAAGTGTATTTATTTGTCTTCAAAACTCACACCACAAATAATTATTTTATTTATTGTTATTTGTACTATGACGTCGTTGAGTGGACCTAATTGATCGGAATCTAATGGCATATATGAGCTCCTACGTGGATGCCTCGATATCCATGATGGTTAGTGGCTAGCAGTAAAATCCAGGATGCATGTTTCGTTTTATTTGGGACTCGTCAGCTAAATGTACCAGCTTCCTAATGGGATGTGTTGTTCCTACTGGGACTCGAACTCGGGACCAGTCGCATCAAACTCCACAGCATTATCCACTAGGCCATCGAGTCATGGTAGCCACTTGTGCGACGGGTATAGTTTTAATTTTGTTCCTTGTATTACCCCATTGTTGAGTGGATCTAATTGGAAAGAACATCGCTCACTAAGAGGCAGGTACATCCAGATGACGAGTCTCAAACAGGACGAAGCATGTCCTGGATTTCACCTCTAGCCATTTTCTGTCATTGATAAGTAATTGGTTTACTTATTTGTGCCTTTTTTCGGTTGCGCATAAAGTTGAATCGATAATATGTCAACTGATGTGTAATTTTACCGGCGAAAGTATTTTTCTTTAGTCAAGTATCTTATCTTCTATTTCCACATACAAATAGTTGATGGTTATGAAGTGAACAGTTTGTATAACTCCAAAATTTGTTCATGTACACAGTAAGAAAGTGGAAAAGGTGAATCTTCTCAGACAAGTGTCATTGGTCATAATCTTTTATTTAATAAGTCGTTTTACTTCTGACTTAATCGGTAGCACTACTGTATAACTCGTTCGGTTTAAGAGCTTCCGGTTGACTGACCCCTTATCCATTTATGTATGATCGATAATTCAGAAATTGAGTGGAATCTCTTATTGTTATGATTGAACGTCAAGTAGATCAATTCACAGAAAACCAATGTGCAATGGTAAATTGACGAACTTTAATAGCTGGGTCCCTATGAGTCGTAAGCGAAATCTGATCTTTTGCCACTGGCGTTAGACGAATCTACAGTCCCGATGTGTTAGAAGGGGGAGTTTCTCTCCTCATCAACATTCTGATTAAAATGGATCCCCATCACGTTTCATAGGCAAAAAACATCAAGCTTAAACCTCGCACAGAGAAGCCAGGAAAAACTGTATG